CCGCCGCCGGCATCGCCGGCGCCATGGCCGCCGCCGGCATGGCCGCCGCCGCTGGCATGGTGGGCAGACCTGCGGGCAGCGCCGTGGGCAGGACCCCCAGGCCCTGCATGGCCGCCAGCTGCTGCATCTGCATCTGCTGCATGGCCAGCAGCAAGTCTGGCGACGCCATCCTGAAGCAAGGGCCAACATGGCAACATGGCAACACTCCTCTTTAAGCAATGAGTGCCACGTGTGCTCAGTGGAAAAGGACGCATCTGCACTTCTAGGAAAATGTGGCAAGCCTTTCGAAAGGCTTCGGAAGGAACGAGCCAGGTGGTCAAAGTGAAGCCGCGGTGCCCAACATGGCCAGGGCCCGCAGTGTTGCCAACTTTTGCCAAGGCTCCCTGAGGCCATTTGCGCGCGCTTGCGCGACCCAACGAGCGGCAGCTTGGGCCAAAGCGTGGAACAGAAGTGACATGGCGATGCCACAGACTGTGTCCCAAAGTATGTAATGAACATGCTCACCGCTCACCTGCACGGCACACCAGGCTGTCCTCATCTTTGGTTTTATACCCATCGATCTGGAAAACATCCTGATTTGTCTGACAGTTCACGCTTGAGATCCTGTAACACCGTAGCCAACATCACAAGGAGCTCCCAGTAAGACGGCATAATATGCCTTCCGGTGGGGGGGGGAGGGGTCATCACCTATCCTGGCTTCAAACCTTCTCATAGGGACTAGGCTAGAGGCTCAAGGACTTGAACCGGTGTAAACCACCGTCCCACATTAGCACAAGCTCGTGCCCTGGGAGCCGCGCCGTCGACTCATATTGCGATGCCAAGGGAGCAGGCGCTGGTACCTCTCGACGATGGGAAGTGCATCTCTCGCATGGGCCGGGGGGCGTAGGTGTCCTTTTAGAGCAAATAGATGGCCCTGGTAGATGATTAACCCCCCAGGTAACAGGGGCATTTATTTTCCCACCAAAACAACCAAACAGGACACCTATGCTGGGGGGTGTCCAGTCTATTGAAGCAGGTCCATTCTTGGACCTGTCCGGGATGAGCCGCCAATAAGGCCCTGCAAGGGTCGTGAACCTATCCATGCTCCAAGGAATACATGATCAAGCATGTTTCAGCATGGCAAAATAAAACTCGCTGGAGTCTTCAACAAAGCCCAGCCAGCATCCCTATCCCAATGGTCCTCTAGTGGCTATCCAGTCATCTACATGGTATAGCTCTTTACATTGGCTCAAATCTGAAACGCTGTCAACATATACAAGCATGACGGTGCATTGCATGTTCCACACCTGCCGCGATCCTGTGCTAAACGCATGGGAATCATGACCCCCATTGCCGAATAATATGAAACAATGCACGTGGTGCCCCGCTCAAGGTCTCAAGACGTCTCAAATCGGCCCAACTTGCGTTCTGTCCAGGGCCCATTTCCTATTTCGCAGCATCGTTTAAGAACGACAACAACTCCGTAAACGACCAATGAAAGTGCAATGCTTGATATGAGTATGGCTCAAAATGAAAGAGCCAGGGGTACGCAGGTTTTAGTTTTTGTTTACACATATTCCAAGGTGCCATTTTGAGCACCATGTTTTTCAGCCACGGTCATACTGCTTGATCCTTCCACAGAAAATATCAGAATCACGCCGCCCAACCACCCTCAAAGCCGTCACGTCGGGCGCCCGGAAGCTGGCGGTTTTTGTTTTGCTTGCTGATGGGCTAAGGCCGCGCCTCCTTTGGAGGGCCACTAGAATAAACGGAAGACACACACGGCATTGAATTCTTGCTGGGGAATGCCCTCCAAATGGTTGGCTGCTTGGTCAGAAATCTCAGTGTAAATATTGGGGAATTCCCCCCCCCCACTGAGCGTGAATATGTCCAATGGCTCCCCAGTTAGAATTCAGACGCAGATAACACCCTGCATATTGCAAGTCAACTGGCCGCCAACCTTGGCACACCTTCAACGCTTGCCACATGCAGGGTGTCAACTGGATCTCCCTTTCCAGCGATCCCTTAATGGATCAATTGCATTTCGTTGCGTAACTGGCGAAGTAGGCAATCTTGCGACATTTTTTTCACAAATCAACTCAATGAATCACCGGGGTGGATATGATACAAGCTCGCATCCAAAGCCTAGGGGCCGCTTCGCCAAAACGGAAATGGAGCGAGCCCTCCCTGGTCCATTGGCTTGGCGAAACTCTCGGCTCTCACAGCCAAACCTTGTCATCCTTCGGCCTCTCCTGGCGATGCTGTTCGCATAGCGTACCGTATGAGTGTGCTTTTCAGTTTTACAATGTCTAACAGTGACAGCACAGCGAAACCACACATTTGTGGGGGTGCTGGTTGGGGGGGGGGGGCGGGGTGATTCAACAGCGATTGTCTTCGAAATGCGCCCCTCTGGCAACAAAACCTGCTTTCCCATACCTAAAAATTGGAACGCCGGGATTTCCAGCCCTTGGTTGAACAATATCCTTATTGGCAGTCGGTCTCTTTTCTTCCTGGAAGGATCCTGCTTTTTGTTCTTTTCTTTTTGCTGTGCTGAGCTTGAGTCGAATCCCTTGTTGGGAAGCAAGAAACTACCAGAACCACCTCCATTGGCTTCAACGCCACACTTCCCCCGAACTGAGCGGAGCAGCCGCCATTTTCCCGCGCAAAGTGCCAGGAGGGTTTACTTCTCGCAGTCGAAGGGCACCTGCTCCGCCTGCAGGTTTCCCCATGTGCTCCAAATATGCGGCTGCTAGGATTTGATTGGTTGATTCCAGCCGGGTTTGTAGCAGCACAGGTTCGGTCTGGGTTCTTTTGAGCTGAAAGAGACATCTCTGGAGAGACTGGCACATACTGACCCACCAAGGGTAACGTCGGACGTGAAAGCGCAAAACAAAACCGACAAACGCCGGAGCTACGTAGGTAATTCGGTTTGTTTCGGCCTTGGCATCCGATCTATGCCTTTCCTGGACCACTCATTGCAGGCTGCTGCGAGAAACTCATTCCCCGTAGAACCACCCCTCCAAGCAAAGCAAAGGGCCCCATCCTCCACATGGGCATGACCTTCCATTGGGAATTATTTGGTGTGGAAGTCACTTTCCGCCAATCATATTTGAGGTGCACCCCGCTAACTTCATGGCCATATGTTTCTCCCAGCTCCCAGCAGAGACGGGTAATGTTCTCCCCAGCTTTATTGATCTTGACCTTTTTTAAGGGATCGCCCTTGCCAAAATGGATCAATCCCTTCCTGCGGACTCTTTGGCCATGAGCTGCCCGGCTAAGATTGAAGTCGCCCGTCACCAAAAACAGAAAGTGGTCTTAATGTCAACCCAGGATGAATGAAAACCCCTGGGATGGGTTTATTAATCCTGGGGCCATTTCCGGGGTTGAAATGGACTTTGCCTCGGAGACGTTCACGGCTTTCTCCACCAAGCAGCGGATCGACTTGGTCACTGGAGCCTGGCAAATGAGGCTGCACTTGGTTCCACACAAAAGCGCCCAGTCTTTTCGAGCCTCTATGAGTTATGAGCTTCAACAAGGTCAACCTTTTGGAGCCTTTAATTACTAATTTTGAGGCAAAGGCTGGTTTTGGGTAAGTAAGGTAAATCTCACTGCAAAAACCCTTACCCTTGGGCAGGTTTGCTCGATCGTAAGCGCCTTGAAGCACATCTAGGGTGTTCTGGATTTTGAACTGCCTTACCAATCAAACAGAAACGGACGTGCCAAGATCCCTTCACAGGCAACGTGGGCTTGAAGGTCTCTGCTCTCTCGAAAGTAATCCAGTCATGACCAGTCAGCCAAGGCCAAGTCTTTCAAAAGCGATCCATGGATTGGTTGGCCGTGACTCAGCCTCAAACACGCCAAACCTAGGACTTACACCTTTCGCCCATCAGTTCTGGGAAACAGCCAAGATGACACGCAGACTCAAAACAACCGTTATCGCAGCATCCGGAGGGCCACGCCTCGCTGGGGACGCCAGCATACCTTTCGGCAGCTCATGGCATCTGCATGCTTTGAGCTGCTAAAACGACCAAGGTCCCAATCTGCTCAAACATGATTCAGCCACCAGTGCCAGGATTCAAACAAAGCCAGGACAAATCGCCCGGCTGAAGTACACCCAGGTATGGATGCATTAGCAGCCTTTGTGTGATACCCCGCAACAGGCTAAGACAGCTGCAAACCACCGCAAATCAAAGAACAGCAAATGATAGAGAGGGGGCCATGTGCGGTAGCCCCTCCACGAGTTTGGGATTAACAGAAATTCGCACCGCAAACCAATCCCAACTTTGGCCGAGCTGCTTCGTCTCGTAGCCCTTGCTGCCGGGATAAAGCGGCAGCCTCTCTGGCTGCCTGCGCGACAAAAGCTCTGTGCGAGAGGGGCAAACCATGGCGAGACAGAGTGGTCTAAGTTCTTTGGTGTTGTCATGAAGGTTTCCCCACCAACAGGAACCTTGAACTCCCTTTCCAGTCCAGTCGGTGAAGCTTTCGGATTTGTCATCCACCGTGCCCCTTTGCAAACATGTTGGAGCATGCCCGCTGTCGGCCTTTCGCTGTTTCGCTCGAGGTTGAGCTATGTCAAAGCATCGCTGCGAATCAAATGGCGCTCCAATGGCGAGTCTTGCCACCTGCGCTTAGGCCGACCTACAACATCATCCTGAGGTAAGCTATTGCCTGGTTGCCTGATCCAACAACCAGAAATGTGCCAAAAAATGGCTTGGGAGACTGCCATCTTGAGAAGCCCTGCCCACGTTTCCTGGACTGCCGGCTGTAGCAGCGCCGCATGTCTGGCGCCTGTATGCCGGCGGGCACAGGAGACTGATCTGGAGCTCGCTGGGCAATGAGGCGTTCTGGGCCTCCTCCTCGCATTTCTGCAACACCTCGAGGCTCCAAAGATCTGTGGGCTGTACGGGGTCTCACTTGAGTGGATTGGCCAAGCAAACTTCTTCTCGACTTCCTCAAGAGTATGAAGTTCAAACTTCCAGTGGCCTATGATGGATCTATTCCATGGGATGGCACTGATGCTGCAACCGCCCAAGCTTCAGAGAAAGTGTAAACCTGAGGTGCCGGCCTTCTTTGGCTGTGGCGATCGGAATCCTGGGGGCTTCAGGCCAAAAGCTGCCTTTCTTTTGGAGGGCGTGAGGCGCAAGCCTTCCAATTGAACACAACCCCGCAGTGCCCCCTTGATGCGACTCAGCACAGCATCCCTTCCATGAGCCCAGCAAGCCTTGAGTGAACCGGAGCCCCACACCGCTGCAGGAATTGCATCCCCGAATAGATTCACACTTAGAAGTTAGGCCCCCAGCAGCAGAAAACGAATTCCATCGCTTTCATGATGTCTAGCTACCAGTAGCATGGAGTAAAATGCATTCTAACCCTAAGCCAAGAGCTCGGAAGGAAAGCTCCCACAGGCCCCGGCCTCCCAGCATGCACTCGATCTTCTTGGTGGCTTGGAACTCTTTCACCTGCGCCTCTTGGAGTTGGCTCGCCTGTGCGGCCTGGCCCCGGGCAGCCCTCTCTGGACAGGTATGCCTCATGTCTGATTTCAGGGAATGGGTGACACGGGGGTGTTCCAATGGAGAACCAATTTGGGGTGCCATGCTATCTCAGAGACCCGGATTCGTTCGTGCCAGTCTAGGCATCAGGTATGCCATGCTTGCAGGGTGCCCTTCATGGAAAGGACAACCAATTTGGGGCGCCAGAATGCCCAACGCACAACTCTCCCAGAGCGCCCGCCTCGGCACGGTACCTCCGGTTGATGTCGGACCAGCACCCGGAGTAGCCGTTCCAAGCCTTGGCCAAAGCGACGGACGGTGAAAGCCGACCAAAACCACGGAGGCGAGGAAGACATACTTCTGGAGATGGGGTGAATAAGTTGCACCTGGAATAGAATCCATCGCTAGCTTGGACAACCAAGGGGTTGCACAGCCATTCCTACGGTAAAACAAGCTCCGGGGTTCTATTATCATTTTCGCAGTCTTTGAAGGTGGTCTGCCTTTGTGGCAAGCAGGGAAGCAGGCAAGCTGACACAGTCCTCAGTGTGGCATGTGGATGAAAGGGCATTCCCAGGCACCAAGCACAGGAGTGGCAGCAAGCAGCTTTGAGTCGCAAAGGCTGCACATCCAGAAAAGCAAACATGCATCGCGCACGTGTGCCCAAGCGTGCTCGTGCAAACACTCAACCATCATATTCACGGCGCCCTACGGCCTGGTGTATGCATGCATGTTTGTGTGTCTGCGTGTGCGTGTGCTTGTGCGTGTGTCTGTCTGTCTGTCTCTCTCTCTCTCTCTCTCTGTCTCTGTCTGTGCTGTGTGCTTCAGTTTGTACACGTTGAATTTTCGCTTGAAAGGCAGCCTGCCTGGCCGTGCCACATTCACAGCAACGCAGCGGACAACTCAAAGCTTGAGGCTTGCAATCCCCTTGCCAAATTAGAAAGGTGTCATATTCGAAATTTCCTCGGGCCAAATTCAAGAAACGTGTCTGGGACCCTGAAACAAATGCCCCGGTCTCTCAGCTCCTTGCGTCTCTCAGCTCAGTGGCATGCTGGCAAGAGGCCTGGCAAGGGCCAAAAGATCAGGCACCCCTGGCTCCGATGAATACATTGGGATTTGTGGCTTATGCACTATTCATGACATGAATTCTCTGAGCCAAACCAACATGTTCCAAAAGGTCACTTAGTTAACTTGGGTTTGAGCTTTCTGTACTTCCATTGGTGCTTGTCAGGTTGCATTGCGCAGTATCTGCGATGATACGACTATAGCAGAGTTCTAGTGCGAAACAACAATGGCAAACTTCACGATTTGTGATCGCCCATTGGGCAAGCAAATGACAGAGTCTATCAGCTGTGTCGCTCACGCTTGGGGACGGAAGCCATGGGAGTTGATTGCCTCAGTTCGCCCACAGTCCAACCTTGTGGACACAAACTCCGAACGCTTTGGCAGAACTATTCTTGCAACTCGCGAAGCCTCGGGCAATGTGGAACCTTGTTGTGAGGCCGCCTGGGAAATGAAACACCCTCCTCAAATTAATCGTTGTAGTGACGAGTTGTTCAAAAGCCAATCACACCGCTTGCCATAGCATTCTATGACCTGAACACATCTAGACACCCAACAACCGCAGCCCAAGCGGTCTTTCGCTCTTAGTTGTCACTCGCTCACTAGGTTTGGGAAAGGCTCAGTCTTTCACGATTCAACTGATTTGGTTACAGGAAACCATCCAGGCTCGGGCCTTTTCCAAGTGGTACTGCATCTTGTTGCAGACCTGCAACTTCTGAATGTAGGCGATCTTCTCCTCCCCCGTGGTACGATGGACACTTGGCCTTGTTTGCCTGATAGTACAGTCCATCTTGATCCTGAACCTAGACCTTCTCGAATCGAACAATCGAAGAAGCAAAACACAATTCAGGGGCATCAAATGTTGGCGTCCATTTTGCAGCTTGTGCAAAGCTGCAACGAGCTGAGGCAGCTGTGGTTGAACAAGAGCTTCACGCTTGCCACCAAAACCTATCAACACGTGAGTCACGAGTCTCGTTCAAAAAGCATGGGTGTTTGGGGAAACCCCCTTTGAAACGGTTTCAAAGGGAAACCAACCTTCAATTGAAGCCACCCATTTTTTGCGGGTCTCTGGATTTGAGACAAACCTAGCACCCCACTCGCCAGGTCCTGATCGCAATTCATGATCGCCTTCTCTCGTGCCGCGCCTGTGCTTCAACTCGCGGGATGCTTGACAAGCCAGAGCCACACCAGCCGTCTGAGGCAAGGACAGGCATTCTTGATGCCCCGGTACAGCAAGAGCTGGCTGTCAAACTCGCTGCGCATGCGCTCCAAATATTCCTCAGGCTGAAAAAAGGAATGTGATCACCTTAGCCTGCTTATTTTGTTCAAGGGCAGCTACAAACAAATACATGCCCAGCAAAATGGGGCACAGTCTTCACGAAGCCTGGAAAAAACTGAAGTGCCCTCTCTAACACACCTACTGGTCATTCATCCCTTCACCTCCCCTGCCCTGCCTCGTAGCTTTCCTCTGCTTGCGGATCCTTGCAGTCAGCTGCCGCGGAAGAAGCGGTCATCGCCTGTGATTCAGAGCGCCTGTGATCTGATCATGTTGCAGCATGCACTTGCGCCTGATGGTTGTCACTGTCATTAACACGCATACATAACGAAGCTATGCCAATCCCAAACTTTTCAAATTCCAAGTTGGAAGTGCAAACCTACTTTATTTGCAAGCTTCAAATTGAGTTGCGCAATTCAAGCCTGAATTGCGAAGTCAAAGCACGTGCCTTGAAAATCGACTTGGCATAATCCGCTATGCGAACCAATGGGATTATGTTTTCATTGGGCCTCCTCATTGCTTCCAAGCCAGCATGCGTAGGACGCCACTGTTTTCATTGGACGCAATTTCGACACGGCCAGTTGGCAATTTGGCACCTGCCCCCCCCCCCTCCCCGCGGGCCCAGCAAATACATGCACGCCAAAGTCAAGCCCAAGTGGTCCAAGTGCGTCATACTCAACACCCGGTATTAAAAACCTCTACCCCGACCAATGTAAAGAACTAAAAAACAGCGGCTGCACCCATGGATCTTAACCTTCATATTTATCCGGGTTTCACCCACAAATGCTTGTGGGATTCTTACTTGCTGACCTTCATCTAGCCGGGGTTTGCTTCTGTTCCAAGTGGTCCATGTGCTTCCCAGCCTTCAGCGCCGGCCAGCTGCGGCAGGTGGGGTCCTCTTGCAAGGACCGCTGCAGCTCCGCGCTGGCCTCCAGGAAGGAGCCGAGCCCGGCGTTGGTGTCGGAGGCCACGTGGGGTTGATATCAAAAGGTTTAAAAGTTGGTGGGGAATTCACCTACCAAAATGGGATCCCAAAACAGTTTTGAGAACTAGAGCCAGTGATCATTCCATCATAATTACTGCGGATGGTTGCGGAATCCATTTCGCACCACGCAATGAAACCACGGTTGAAACCATAACATTTGTTGGTGTTTACAGGGGAATCAACAGAAACCAGGGTTTCTTAGGTGGTGCGAAATGGATTTCGTCCATCCACAGTATCAAAAGGTCCGAAAAAAAACGATGGGATGACCATTGGGTGGAAAACCGCCCCAACAAAGATGTGTGATATTGTTTGACCATTGGGTGAAAAACTGCCCAAAAAAGATTTATGATATGTGTTGACCATTGCTTGGAAAACCACCCCAAACATATGTATATATATATATATATTATATTTTGACCATTGGGTGGAAACCCACCCAAAAAAGATTTGCGATGTTTCAACCACTAAATCGGGGGGGGGGGGAAACACACAAAAAAACAAACAAACATCAGATGACCACTGGGGAAACCCACCCCGTGATTTCAACCACTAAGTGTGAAATGTGACCCATTTAGTCATTCGGGGGCCCGAAGAATGAAATATGATCAAACCCCAAGAGATCATCCTTCAGATTAGACCCAGCTTTTCGGAGCTTGCAAAAAGCAAACCTGCCTTGTCGCACTTGTCAGACGTCCGCTTGGCCTCTGCCTCCTGGCCACTGGAACTGGCGCCACTCATCCACGGGGGTGAGGGGTGCTCTGACTCAGCAATTCCTGCAGCCTTCACTGGCAAAACTATCGGGTGCAAAATCTGTTTGGGGACTTGTTCCTGTTTTTGTTCTTTTTGTCTTTTACTTTTTTCGTCTTGACCAGCAAAATGTCGTATTTTACAGCAATTTCTCACAACATTTACGCATTTTACACCAGGCCGTCAACATCCCCAGCATCGGTTTCAACATCCCCCGCATTTCCCGCCAACATCCCCAGCATCACCAGCAAATCGTGGGTAAAAAAGTAGCGGGCGGGTTGGCGGAGTCGAAAACGTGATGATTCAAATACGGGTGCAATTCTGTGCTTGTAACAAATAAAAAAAAGTAGCGAGGGGGTTGGCAGGGGTGGCAACACCCCCCATGATGTTCGAAGAAGCGAGTGCATTAGAATATAGAAAGCAGCCGGGTTGTCTCTGTAAAACATCCAGGGAGCGGGGGGGTGGGGGCGGCAGCCCCCCCCCCATGATGTTCGAAAAAGTGATAAGACTAGGTGTGCGATAGAATACAAAAAGCAGTGGGGGGCAGCCCTCCCCATCCCTATAATGTTCGAAGAAGTGCCCACATACAGACAGACAGCGCTGAGGATGCGGGAAGCCAAAGCCAAAAACTCACGAAAGGGTGCAAAAGCAAAAAAGCCGCCGGAGAGGAACTGGGAAAGCAGAGGGAGCGCAAAGCCACCAAAAAGCCGCATAAACCAACAAGAAGCCGAAAGGCCAAGAAGCATAGAAACGCTGGTGCTTCCGCACTGCGCAAACCTCTGCACAAACGAGGGACCTCCCAAACATAGGGCAGGGAAGGCGGATATTCCTGCCTCCATCCGACATTGCAAGTGCAGCTTCTCCTTCTGCGATGTGACCTACGCAAGGCTCGAGTATCGAGATGGAGTTTGAACCTCTTGCCACTCAGCTTGTCCAAATACCGGCGATGCTTTACAGCTCAATGTCCCTGTTGGGGTTGCTTGTGGGCAAAAACGCTCAAGCATTCAGCACCCAGAATGTCAGAGAGGCAAGTCCCACTCACGCGGCGTTCGCTCTCACATGCTCTTGGGCGCCAGGCATTGACATACCTCTCCGCCTGGGGTTGATTTCGGCTGGCCATCCAGCTAACAGGAAATCGCGACAAATTTGTGCTTGAAATGTCCTCCCCCTTGTCAAGCCTCATCTAAAGTGTGAAGTGTAGATGTGAAGCACGGCCTAAAACGAGCTGGGAAGCCATTGGAGGTCTTCTAGGCCAAGATGACAAAGCGGCAGTCAGGTCTACTTCAAGCACTGCAAGAGTTTTTGCGACCGCACGCGAGGCTAGACACAGCTGCTTGGATCACCTTGATCGAAAGAGCGGATGCACTAGCCAGCGTCATTCTGCACTAAGGGCTTACCACTCACCAGCCTGAATTCAGGAATTCATCAAATCAGAGACCTTCATGGGTATCCGGATGAGCCCTAGCTCGCGAAGTGCAGAATCAGCTGAAACGTGCGGCTCCATGGAAGTTCTGGAAACAAATTCAGGAAGCCTCCAGGTGTGCTGAAGGTCTTCGATGCAGAATTGACTTCCAGGTGCACTACGAGCGAAAAACCTGAAGCCGTTGCAAAGGCCTGGGACCTTGGATTTGGACCTGCCACATCCTGCCACTAAGCAATCCAGACATCAGAGCATTGCGTGTACGAACAAGCGGAAAAAAACAATTGGCCCCCCAGGCTGGCCAAGCCCCAAGCCCCCAGCCCCAACGCTGATTTTTAAAAGCGGCCCGTTTTGAACGGCCGTGTCGCGAGTTTTTTCTGCGAAGGCCCTTCAAAGCCTAGGCTGATAGGTGGCCTTTTGGAAAAATAGATGGCCCTGGTAAATGGAATCAACCCCATCTAAACTAGGGCCCTCTCTTTGTTAAGCAAACCAACCAAAAAGGACACCTGTGCCTAGGCCCTAAATTGCCAGTTTGTGCGCTGCCACCGAAGCTTGCAGCTGCTCCTGGCATTTCAGCATATCCACCATCTGGCCGCGAAGCTTTGTCATTTGATGCCTCAATGCGCACACGTCCACGGACTTGGCATTGCCGCGGTTGCGGATACAGCCTAGGTGCTAACATGCGCTAACTACCTGGTTCGGGGACACATCACAAGTTCCGATGTTGTGTTTCCTCGAAAAAACAAAGGCACTCAAAAGAATCATCTTTAGATGCAGTTTCCTCAAGAAAAAAAACATATTTTATCACAAAATCACGCACTCAAAGAATCATACATATATATGTATATATATATGCATATATGTGTGTGTTATGTTGCACCTAGCAGCTGTCCACAAACTCGTCCACGTGGATGTAGTTGCTCCCATCCGCATCCAAGATCTGGAAGAGCGTCCAGGCATCCGAGGCTCCGAGTTCGAGAGCTTCGAACAAGGCGCGCACCGACTCTTCCTCGAAGCGGTTCTCGAACTCCACTAAGGTCACCTGGCCCGTGCCATCATCCACTTGGTTGAAGAGGTCCAGGAGACGCTTCTTGAAGGTCTCCTGAACTACAAGGAGCCCTTCAACAGATGATGATCTTCTTTTTTTTAGCATCTGTGTATTGGTTCATGTACCGCTATGATTCATCATCTACCCCATCCTCACTCCGAATATGCTGCACCCTGTCCAGCCCTCCCCACTCGGCTGGGCGCGACTGGAAACCCACCCCTAGGTCCCTAGGGGCTTCTTTTCTTTTCCGAATATCCAGCTCTCCTTTCGGAAGCCAAAACACACACGCATCGTTCCAGGTTTATGTTCATGATTAATCATTTATTCAACACCTTCTAAACAACCATACAGGGTACCCCCCACAAAGTCACAAAGTCATTTGCGCTACAAAAGCGACTCCTCATTGTTTATTCCAATTAATTCCAATCTTTGGTGCCATTTTCAGCTTCCCTGCCTGACGCCACCCAAATATCAACCAAAATAGAGCCCCTGTTATGATGATCTTTGTAAAACCTGTCCAACAAAGCAACCGACAATAATCAGCCATGGGTCCCCCCCAAAAAAAAACAAAACAAAAGAAGGCACTGGCACTGAATATCCATCCTTGCCCGAAAGCGAATGATCCGGGTCACTTCCTCCAGAGGACATGGATCCACATATAAAAGCCATTTGTCTACCATAGTGCTGCAGCTTCTAAAGTAACAGCTGCGACAACACGAGCTGTCAAAAAATGAAGCCAAGCTAATGATCACAAAAAAGTCCTGGAAATGGATCTCAATATTGCTTCATCTTTTGCTTCATGGAGCCTCCATAGAAAAGCAATTGACATGGCACAGACCCACCCTCCCTCCCAAGAACACGCACCTTTTGCGGTGTTGGTGGATCCTGTGCATTGATCTGGCTCCCTCTCCCACACATCTTCAGTCTTTCGAAGTGTGGGGGGAGGGGCCTCAAGAAACAACTTTGCCGCCCTTCTCCACCGGGTTGGGTGGGTGGGAAAAGCAAGGTATGGTGGTGGTGGGCCCTTGAGCCAAAATGGCCCACGGCCCACCACCACCCTTGGAGTGCAGTAATGTCATGCACATATTCCACTCCGCGGGCTCCATTCATATGTTTCACGACATGGCACAGACCCACCCTCCCTCCCAAGAACACGCACCTTTTGCGGTGTTGGTGGATCCTGTGCATTGATCTGGCTCCCTCTCCCACACATCTTCAGTCTTTCGAAGTGTGGGGGGAGGGGCCTCAAGAAACAACTTTGCCGCCCTTCTCCACCTCCTTGCTCTGGCGCGGCTTACCCGCTCTTACACTTCAAGCATGACACCTGGTGCTTGCTCCCCTGCATGAAGATGAACGATGCATAGCCGTAATACCAGCCACATCTGGTCCTCCACGTGGTCGGAGGGGAACAAGCCACCATGCTGGCGTTGACGTGGATCACGGAGCCATGCACGTTCTTCACCAAAGATGGCAGCTCACCGTTGCCGGCTTCGACCTTCTCCTTCCATGTCCTTACCTCGGTGTCAAGCTTGTCTCGCATGGCGTCCGTGTCCAGCTTCAGGGCCTCTACCTCGAGGGCTAACTGATTCCTTACTGCGTCCCAACCCGGGCCTTCGCTACCATGTCGAACCGGGCCGCACTTATCATTGACCGGCATGGTTTCCAAGGCTTCTTCAGCGTAGCTGTAGATAACGTTTGATTTCCAGCGGCCTAGGTACGCGACTTGTGGGATCGCCCAACCCTGTCTGATGTAGGTCAGCGTGCGTCGCGCAGAATGGCCACCAACCCTCATGCCGAAGACCTTGGCCCAAGAAGCAACTACCTGCGCCTTTGTTGCTACGTCGCCGCTGCCTACTTTGCAAAGGGCGTCATCAAGTTCTATGACCTCCTGGCCGGAGTGCACCAATTTCTTGGCGTTCCTGCATGGGCAGTCCCAGCCACAATCCCCCTGGCAAAGACACTGCAGGACCCGCCTAACTCCTCTGGCCTCTTGATCCTTCTTGCTCTCGTGCAGCACCAGCGTGACCCTCTTTGCCGTGTCATTGACCAGCAAGTCGCCCTTCTTGAGTGCGGCGATCTCCACTTCCCTCAACATCCAAGTCATTCCCAGAATGAAGATCTCGATCGGGTCCGTCAGGCGCCGGCTCTGGGGCCCACGCCTCTCGACACCGCCATAAGGCACTGCCTCATGACCCTAGCTAGCAAATCACTCCACGCCTTCCCTGCCTCGACATGCATGAGCTTGGCTTCTGCGAGGTAAAGGTGGGCAGACTTGTAGCCGGCTGACTTCAGGCTTGCCGCTAAACACTTCACCTTGTCAGCATCCAGAGGTGTGACCGCGAAGCCCGCTGATTCTGCTATGCGCCGGATGGTGTTCCTCCTTGCTGCCTTTGCCTTTCTAGAAGAGTTGGCGCAGAAGTCCTTCTCTAGCTCTCTGATGGCCATCTTCCTTTTCCAAGGGTCTCTGCCTCCTCTTTAACCGTGCGACCTAGCACATCCTTGGGCCCCGAAAAGTGGTGCATGAACACAAAAACTCTTTGTTTGAGGTGTTCCTTGAGGTCCTCATTCACGTCCCTCTTCACTTTCGTGCTCTCGTCATCCTCGGGCAAGATTCGGTTTGCTGGCTTGAGTACCACCCTTCTAGACTTCGTGGAGCCTGCCCCATCCCCCGCTGGGTGCTCGGTGGCTGATCGTTTCGACGAGCTCGAAACTCCAGCCTCGCCCGCATCCATGTTCTCCGGGGTGGCCTTGGAGGAGTAGAGCAAACCTACCAGCAAGGCCCAGGCGCCCCACGCTCGGGCCTTCAGCTCTTCTTGTTGGGGCAGTTCTTCGAAGGGTGGCCCGGGGAACCGCAAGTGGTACACTTGTGTTCTCTCTTCACTGGGGCAAGACACGCTTTCTGAGGTGGGACCTCTGCGCAGGGTCCATTGCCATTGTTCCAAGCAAAACACCTTGCGGAGCCTGAATTCTTTCCCGAACCCTTTCCTCCCTTTCCCTTTCCTGAGTTGTGGTTCCCGTTCGCATTCTTCCCAACGTCCTCGGCCCAATCCTCTTCCGGGCCTCTCTTCGCTGGGAAGAACGGCTGGGCTTGTCTGAACCTTCGCTCCCTGCAAGCTCTCGACCTCGCACTTCCTTCGTGACCTGTCGAGATTTTCTCCTCCGGGGTGTCTGGGACTCCTCGACTGCCTTGGGCCATCCAAGCGGTGCCCGGGAGGATGACCTGCTCGTTCCAGTACTTGTCGTCGTCCACTAGTGCTCTCATCAGCGTCGCCCACGGCTTGTCTGCGTCGAACCCCACTGGAACATCTGAGCCAACTCCTCCAGCCATGGTCGCCCTCAGCTTCAACCTCGTGAGGTGCTCCGACCTGCCTCGGTCGTCTGCTTGGCAAATGAGATGCCAACAGCCGGGGAAGTTCCTCACCAACTTCTCGATGTGCGTTTCGTAGGCGTTGAGATGGGCCAGGGGAACCGTCTCCAGCATGATCAAGGCGGCCCGGTAAACTCGGTAACTCGCCTGCCACATCTCGAAAGTTGTGGGCCCTGCAACTTCTCGCGTCATGAAGCCCTCCAACGTCGGGATGTAGACCCTGAACCTGCTGGTCCGAAGTGCCTTCTTGCCGTAGGGGACCCACACCGCGAAGTCTGCATAGGGAGCTGCTTTCAACACCTCGGTCCTGCGACTCATAGCTGAGAGCTGTTCCATCGAGGGTTCCTCTTCTTCGGGTGGGAGACCGCCTACTACCTTGACATAGTTCGCCACCCACAGCGCCCTCTTTCCTCCGGCTCCACTACGAACTCCGTCTCGTCGCCCTGGTCCAGGATGTGCGTCATCTTCATCTTGGGCTCCAGGCTCTTCTGAACTACTGTGCCCGCGTCCTCGCCATCGCTGGTCTTGACTGGCGCTTCCCACGGGTGTGGGTCTTCCCACTGATCCCAGGACCCACCGTTCTTCACGTGGTAGATCCTCCTCGCCAGCCGGAACATCAACCCCCCCTGTGAGGCCTGAATGACTGTCAAGGCCTGACCTCCATTGCCCGCGGACTCGCAGGCCAAGGCCACCATCGCAGCCGGCAATGCCGCAAAGGGCCGAATGTCCTCGCCTGGATCGCCCATCGCGGCCGTCACTGCCTGCCAGACCGCGAGGTCCACCTGATAGTGAAGCCTCAAGTCCGACATCGTGCGAATCCGCATCGCCTCGGCCTCCGTAGGGAAGGCCGCCATGATTCAGGACGAACGCGAGGAGCACCCAAACCACCATCAAGCAGGAAAAAAAAAAGGAGAAAAAGCAAGGTATGGTGGTGGTGGGCCCTTGAGCCAAAATGGCCCACGGCCCACCACCACCCTTGGAGTGCAGTAATGTCATGCACATATTCCACTCCGCGGGCTCCATTCATATGTTTCACCACAAGCGGTGTCTCCCCCTTTTTTTTGCAGTGTAGTCTCCTAATAAAAATGTTCTCTGCTCACTTCATGGAAATGGGTCCTACAAAGGCAATTGAAAAGTAGCATTGGCCTTTTTAGGTAGAGGTGCGGAATTTGACCGCAGTACACGAATTCAAAAGTAGTATTGCCTGGAATCGGTGACCGTAGTGCAAAAAAAGAAAAGTAGTATTGCTAGACTTCCTGGACGCCAACTCCAAAACAGGTCGCTTCGAATACTAATCTGGACACATCAGTCAACATGTTTCATCTCGGGTCAAAGTGGGCCCTTTAGATTTTAGAGGTGGGCAATGCACGGAGAAGCATATTTGAATGCTCAAAGCATCGGAAGGTAGAAAGGTCAGCTTGAAAAGCAGCCAAGATACCTTCTCCGCCAGCAGCGCTTGCACTAAGAGATCTTGATCTTTCTCAGCTCCGGTAATGGCCGAGTGGCAAAAGACGCCTGTCCTGAGTCAAAACATTTTTATGAAGAGAACGCCGACCACATGGCTGTGGGTCAAAACCGATGGTACCATTTTGGGGTAGGTGCACTACCCATTTTAGTCTATTTTAGTCGGGATTGGGGGGTACGGGATTTTTACCCATGGCCACATACATGAAAAGAACACCGGTCACATTACCCACACCATAGCAAGACCTTCGCAGGCTCACTGTCAAGTGTAAACGCATTAGCCCCCCCACTCACATCGATTTCACATACACTGACACCTAACAAACGATATATATATATATATACACGGCCAATAGGTTGTTGCTCTTGTTGCAGAAGCCTTGTAGATCAACACATGTCATCATTGTTAAAGGCCATCATCGCCAGCATCGGGGGGGGGTGTCAGAACCAGGGGCTCATCGCAAGCCTCTTGGAAGAGCCCACAGTTTTTCGTACATGTCCAGCTCATACAAGACAGGAACCTGGCTCAACTGACCGACAACAAGGTGCGAGGATAGCTCGACAGTTCTGGACACAAAAGCACAACAAGTGCAACCCAACTCCAATTGGCAGATCACCATGTCATTTTGGCATGGCCTTGAGGCTGCTAAGGAACGCTGCTAACCAATCAATCTGACATTACACCCCAAAACTTGGGATAAAGCAGCCATCTGCGGACTCCCCTAGGCAAAATTCACTGGCAGTTCAGGACTCAACCCAGGCGCCTCCCCAAAGCCCCCCTCGAAATGTGTAGAAAGCGCAGCCAAGCAGCATGACATTCAACACCTTGCCATTTCACTGGCCAACGGTTCAAGCGCTTAGCTTCACTCAAGGATCAAGCTCGCACAAACAAAAACAAAAAACAACGCCTGCTAAGCTTGCAAGGTTCTGCAAAAAGGCAGAAGGCCACGTAGAAGGTGAAGCCCAAGACCCACTCCATGCCAATGTGCTGCAGGGACTTCGCTGGCACTTCCCAAGTCACACCGCCGGAGATGGATCGAAAGAGCGTGTTCATGGATGCGAACAAGCTTCCAAAGTGCTCTGCCAAGCCTTCCGAGACATGCCTGGCGAAGCCCCGACTCTGGCTCCATTGTTTGTGGGGCAAATATGGGTAGCCAAAACGGAACGCAAAGGGAAACATGAACCAAAACCGGTCCCCTGGTGGTTTAACTTTGACCCATACGACCCATACCCATTTGACCATTCCCAGTGGTAGAAATTTCGGGAAACACCGCTCTTTCCAGATGTGATCCCTGCAAACTTAGAAATAGGCAACAGGGCCGGCTTGAAGAAAACACTTCCCAGCGGCTTATCATGATGCTGGTTGCCCAAATCTCAGCCGTGAGGGCAGTAGGGTTTCTTGGAAAGCCGATGTGCACACTGAAAAGTCTAAAACACATTATTGAAAAAGCCAGCTTGGTTCGGGTAATTGTCGTTGCCTCCTGCCATCCCCCCTTCCTTTTTGAGTTCCGCCGAAACAAGCCATGAATCCTACAGAGTTCTATCTGACGAGCATCGCTGGGATCTCTGTATCCTCCAGCAGGTGGTCGATGGTGGCATCTGCGAAGCAGAGGACATGATGGGGCGATTTGCCAAGATACTTTGAAGTTACCTGCCATTAGAGGCTTGTACTGGGCCTGCCTTTTGAAGCCCAGGCTAGTAGACTATTGATCTGATGATAGCATCATGCTTGTCTGATGATGCTGCTCTACTTCCTCTAGGTACTTGAGACGATACATGCGGTTATCTTTCGAGAATAGCCGCAACTTTCTTAAACCAAACGCGCACGTCGGTTTTTATACAGTTCCCTTCATGCAAAAACACAAACATAAGATTCGCGCCAAACAAACATCAAGAACACTGGGCAACCATTCGCAAGGACAAACACAATAATACCTCACATGGCATGCCAATCGCCTGCGAAAAGGATGCCAAAGGAATATATGATAACCAGCAGCAGGACCAGGGACCACACCAGCGAGCGCAAGGTGTGCAGGATGGAGTACACTAACACCCGAAGCGCTCGGATGAAACGCAACACCTGCCCGGCATTGTACAACCCTAAGAACACAGAGATCTGTCAACGATCCCCAAAGACATCAACTTGGGCTTTCCTTTTAATGAGTGACTCAGACTACAGAGTTGGGGCTCTTTTTCATTTTACGTTTCCCGTTACCCAGTCACCCGAGTCACATTGTCACTCCTGACCTTAACGACGCGGATCGCCCGAGCAAGCCGGGCGATCTTCATGATCCGCAGCAGGCGGAACCCGCTGGAGGAGCTTCCTGCCGCTTGGACTGAGTAAGGGAGTTTAGGCAATTGTCCTATGTTGTTCAACAGGGGCCTCCCCAATCCCAATAGGCGCCAATAGCGACTAACAAGGCCTACTAGGGTCTTTTTGGCGGCTCCCCTCTTTGGGGGCCCCTGACAACCATTGGAGATCTGGAGGAAATAGCTTCCCAACATACCCTACATGTTGTTACCGGTGTTGGTTGCGAGTGTGAATACCATTTCATCGGTGAGGGCAAATTTCAAATCTGCAGGTACAAAACAGAGACGTCCGAGCAAGTTGACGGACGCCGGAATTGGATTCGCGGCGTGCGGCATTCCAGTCCTGTCGGGGCAGCGTCGTTGCCTAGGAACATGGTCACAACGTCCAGGACCGCCGACACCGAGACGAAGATGTCCAGGAAGTGCCAGGCCCAGTCGGAGGAGCAAATGTAGGCCCGAATGCCCCGTGCTGCGATCCTCAAGACAATCTCGGCGATGAAAAGGGCCGCATAAACCGTCTGAAGCACTGCAAAGGCAGTCGGCTGCTCGGCATGCAAATTCGCGGATGTCCATTCCGTCTGCACCCCCAGGAATATGGCATTGCTCACCAGCACCGCGGCGAAAAATGATTCAAATTGCCAGGTAGTAAGGCATTCTCTCTTCAGGCATCTCTCTGTCTCAGGTTGTTGTGCGGGCTCACTTTCTGCCTCACAGGTTTTGCACTTTCAGATCCTGCTCTAAAGCATTCACACACGCACAAACACACTTGGCTGTGGCTCAAAAAAGTGGTACCAAAATGGCACCTTTGTAAATGGAGGTAAAGACTAAAACCCGCGTACCCCCCAGCTCTTTAGTTTTGAGCCATACCCACTTTGCCAAGGGTACAACAAGGATGTTTGGCTTTGAAAACCTCACCAAATGGTCACCACAAACGATGGGACTTGCGGCTTGGAATGTGAGAGGTGGAAGCTCTTCATCCCCGCCTGACATGGTGTCATTATGTAAAAGTAAGACGCCACACGCCTACTGCTTTGCAGCACAACACGTTTTGATTGCACACTTTCACAGGTATGCCTTGATTTCGTGGTAGTATGCCGTGTCCTTGGCATTTTACAGGCCAGCCATGGCCAGAACAAACAAGAATCAGCAGAACAGTATTGTATCTGCTTGTGCTACCTCGGTAATTCGAACCTACATTCTGCGAGTGCGCAATTCACGATGCCCCAATGGATCCCTGTCTGAATTGACCTGCAGCACAACATGTCTGAGCGGGCACACACACACACACATGCGTGAGCCGTTGATTTCGCAGCGCGTGTACGGTGTAGTACGGGGTCGTTGGAATGTTGTAGCACAGCCATGGCCAGAACCAAGCAAGCTAAGCAACTAGCAAAACAATTGGAAGTACATCAACTATACAAAGCATAAACCTAACCAGCATGATCAAGTATTCATACACAGCCGACACCATATGTTGTGGGTCAATGCCTGCAACATGTACGCCGAACAAAGAAACACGCCTCACTTTTGCCATACGCTCTCAACAGGACCCAACACAAGCTATAAAATGGACGCCGCACAACATGACGTGTCCAATTTCTTGGGACCCCACGTCTCCTTTAATTACGTTTGTAGAGACCCATGTCGTAGCGGAAACGCAAAGGGGGCTCCACAAAGGCAATCTTGGCACCGTGCCTCATTGGCTTCATTCAGCCTCTTTTGGTGGTGCAAGCTGCTTCTCAGCTTGGCCAACTCATAGGATGCCGTCTCATCAAGGGGGCTTTCATCCGAGCTGTGGGAGTTTCTCCGTGATGGAGCCATGTCCAAGTCCAAGGCCTCCGTTTCAGGATTCCTGAGCTTCGACTTGCAGTGCCTATTGCCTGCGCGAAAAAAAGCGGAAGTGTATGTACTCCCCGCGCAACTTGATCTTTCAAGCCCACTGGAATCGCTGGAATGCCGCAAAGTTTGCGTTCCAACTTAGTGTAGTCCCAGGTGACTGTTTAAGCGGACTGGAATATCCCTGCCAACAAAAAAAAACAAGCAAGCGTTGTTGCCAACCCTGCGTGTCCAAAACTTTTGCATAAGCCCTATGTGTGGAGACACAGACAGCTGTCACACGCACACACGCCCTCCCGCAAACCAATTCGGGGAAAAAAAAATAAAAATAAAAAAAATGTCGAAAGCTTTGCCCACAGTTGAACAAGTTTTCAAAGCTTTGCCCAAATGCGTGCGTTCAGGAACAGCTAAAGCACCTGGTTGAACAACCTTTTCCAAATGCAGTTTTGAAGGGCAAAGTAAAAGCAGCCAATTTGGACAATAACATTGAAAGCCCTGCCCAACAGTAGTACAAAAGGCAAAGTAAAGGCAAATTGAGACATTAGACACCTCCACAGCTCTCATTCCTGGCCTAATTGTAGAACGGCCTGATAGTGAAGTAGAAGTTTTTGTGACGGCACCCTTGTCGGGGCTGGTGGAGATCGAAACCAACAAACCTGACGCCTGCGAGAAGATTTCAGGATCACATTGATCCGATGCCATGAATTCTTGGCCTGTGGAAGCATCATGCCTTGCATTGAAGGCTTGTATTGTGACCCTCTGCTTTGGACCATACGAACAAAAGCCTAGTGTAACAGGTGTCACTTTTGCCCAAAACCAAAACAGGGGGGTCAAAAGGAAAACACGACACTGACAATGGGTAAGTGACGAGCCTTAGCACGGGGGCACCCTGGCTTCTGAGAAAGCACAGGCATGGCAGCTTTGACCAAATCCAATGCCGCGTAGGCGATTTCCTATGTGGACCACGCATCCGGCGACCTGTGATTATTGCATAATACAACTTGCGGGTGCCGACTGCTGCATTGGTAGCAATTCCGATACAGGACCCTCCAAGCTGTTGCATGTACTCTCCGCACCCGGCAGTGTGCATTGCCAGGCACAGGTCCTGCTGCTGGTGACACATGCCCATTACTTCCCTCCAATCAAAGGATGGAAGTGGCAGGGAAGGCTTTGCTCACATGATTGCACGCGATTGTTGGGAAAAGGGGATGGTGATTTGCTTGCAGCAACACACCATAACTAAAACTGGAGGAGTGCTGATGACTCAGCCATGCGATGCAACTAGCTTTGCGGTATTGCTTTCTTGGAGTTCTTGGCTTTCGTACAAGATGCAGATGGTACGTCAAATGTGCACACTTGCGCCATGAAATCATTCATGGGGCTCCTATCCAAGCCTCTCACGAAGACCAGTCGGCTTTGCTGAAGCCTGCAACCTCCCGGTCCATTGATCGGGCAACTTCGAGGTTCTTTTGGCCGCCAAGTTGCAAAGTCTCGGTATGTGGCACGGCAACTCCATCCATCACCAACTTCTGAAGCATCCTTGGCCGCAAGTAGTAGAAATCAGAAAAGCTTTGAGAGCCCGACGTCTTCTCACAGCTGGTTTCCCAAAGGCACTCAACTTCGCGCTAAGTCCCACATGTACCTACGAATTTGCTCCCTATTTCACAGCCACGATTTACCCTTGGGCTTTTGGGGGGGGGCGCCTCCCCGCAAGTGCGCTTTTGTCAAGCAGCAGCTGGTGGGCAAGCAATGCATCAAAGCGAGCCATTACCTCCTTATGCTTCTCTTCGAGAACTTCCAGAGTGACCTCAGCTCAGCAAAACTCGGTGGCCCAGTCACCAAGTTGGCTTTTGACATTTTGGAGCGGACGCAAATATTTCTTTCCCTCTCTCGCCCCCTGTCTCTCTTCAGCAAAACTATGCCTTACCTTGAACAGGCCGTCAAGAGTGCAAGGGCACTACTGGTCCCTCTACCAGGATGCTTACATTATACACCTGAACATTGCCTTGTAAATGGTGGTTTCCCTCTATTTTGGTGTTGAAAAAGCCACATGTTTCAAATGGTTGCAAGATGTGTCTTTTAAGGAGCCCTGTCTACCTTCTGATGCTAAAGGCCCTCCACAAGACCAGTTGCTGAGCGCCTGGCGCTCGCCATGATGGTTTTGCGAGGCGCTAAAAGACGTTTGCGAGCTAGAGCCGTGCCAAGGAGACAGGCGATCCCGCGCTGGCAAACACAGCGGGAAGCAGGATGGCAAACACCATCGAACCTGACTCAAGATAGCAAATATCACTAGCATGAGACTCACACACACACACATATTGACACTCACACTGACAGTTCTAAAGCACACATGCATGCACGCAAACACACGTAACACACACACACACATAACACGCACATAGACACATGCCCACTAATATGCCACTAATATGCGCACTGACATGGCACACACACACACACATTCTAATATACACAAATGCGAATATCTGCACGCAAACAGGCGCACACACAGACACAAAAACAAAACAACGGACGGACGGACAACCACAATTTCGCAACACACACACACACACCACGTGACCCACCCTCTGTCTCACACGCGCACGCATGAACGCGAACACGCCTGTGTGGCCCTCAGGTTGGGCCCACTGCGGGAAAATCCTCAGGGTCGAGACCTGGTTCCTCTGGGGTTCTGTTGGGTTTTTTGCGGGTTGTCTTTTGTTTTGCTTTTTTGGTGGGGAAGTTGCCTCTGGTCATTGCACTGGGCCCGCTGCAAATTCCAGCGCGGTCACACGCTCGGCGTCGCACCTTGAGCCCCCCTGAAAAAGTCAAGGGACTCCTTCAAAGGAAACCTCGAATTAGTTCTGGACTACTAGGGGCCCCTGCAATCTTGAGGTGGCTTAGGCGCGAGCAACCGAAACTAGCCATGTGGAAGAGCATGAACTAGCCACATGGAAGTGGACAGGCCGCGAGTTGAATTCTAGCCACAGTGTCTTTCTCAACATTTGCCAGGATCTGGGACGACCAGCTGCAATGAAGGCATATGTGAAAATATCGAGTATAGATCGAATGTTTAGACGGAACTTGTTTGCAAGGTCCGGTGCAGATTTCGTGCCGGCAGGCGCAGCGTGAGACTCAGGCACAAATTGCGTGGCAAGCGCTACATATTTCGTGGCAGGGCGCAGAGATTTCGCAAGGTCATTTACAGATTTTGCAGCACGCGCTGCACACTCGGGCTAAAAACGTAGATGTGGATAGATAGGTAGTTAGATAAATAGATAGATAAACAGTAGCAAGATACATAGGAGTAAGCATGAAAAGGCAAACGTAAAATTGCATAGATCTGGATTGATAGATCAAATAAGGGAAAGAAAGGGACGGCAAAAGACTGATATAAATATGAGAACTACGCGAACCATCTTCCAGACAGACAGATAGATGAACTAATAGATAGATAGATAGATAGATAGATAGATAGATAGATAGATAGATAGATAGATAGATAGATAGATAGATAGATAGATAGATAGATACATAGATAGATAGATAGATAGATAGATAAGATTAGATAGATAGATAGATAGATAGATAGATAGATAGATAGATAGATAGATAGATAGATAGATAGATAGATAGATAGACAAATAGATAGATAGATGAAACGATAGATAGGTAGAATAGATTAGATTAGAAAGATTTAGATTAGATTAGATAGATACATAGATAGAATAGATTAGATAGATAGGTAGATAGATAGATAGATAGATAGGATGGGATAGGATGAGAAAAGACACGATAGATAAATAGATTAGACAGCTTAGATAGATAAAACAGATAATGCTTAATTTTAGATAGATAGATTAGATTGGATTAAAATAGGTCGGATTAGATTAGACTAGACAGACAAATAGACTAGCTATGTAGATGCACATATAGATGTGGCCAGATAGAAAGACCGGCCGATAGATAGATGTATAGATCTATCAACAGGTTGATAGATAGATATGTAGATAGACTAGACAGATAGGTAGACTAAATTGGAAAAAAGGTTGGGTAGATAAGGAAAAAAACTATAGAAGTATAGAAACCTAGACACATATATATATATATAGAAAGATAGCTAGATTAGATAGATAGATAGATAGATTAGATAGATCGATAGATAGATAGGTTAGGTTGGGTTAGGTTAGGTTGGGTTAGGTAGATAGATAGATTACATAGATAGACATATAGATAGATAGATAGATGGATAGATAGATAGATAGATTACATAGACAGATTACATAGATAGACAGATAGATAGATAGATAGATACATACATAGATAGAGAGATAGAATAATACATAGATAGATAAATAGATATATAGATAGACAGATAGAACTAAAAGTATAGAAACATAGACAGATATATAGATAGATTAGATAAGTAGATAGATAGATAGACAGACAGATAGATAGATTGGCCAGATAGATCGGTCAGGTCAGGTCAGGTCAGGTCAGGTCAGGTCAGGTAAGGTTGGATAGATAGATAGATAGGTAGATAGATAGATAGGTGAAATAGATAGGTCAGATAGAGTAGACAGATCGGATAGACAGGTAGGTACATAAAAATATAGATAGATTAGATAAATCGATAGATACATAGATATATTAGATTAGACTAGAGTAGATTAGGTTAGGTTAGGTTAGATTAGACTAGACTAGACTAGATAGATAGATAGACAGATAGATAGATACATAGATAGATAGATAGATAGATAGATACATAGATAGATAGATAGATAGATACATATACAGAGAGAACTATAGAAGTATAGAAACATAGACGGATACATAGATAGATTAGATAGGTAAATAGGTAGATAGCTAGATTTAGATAGATAGATAGATAGATTGATAAATAGGTCAGATAGATAGGTCAGATAGATAGGTCAGATAGATTGGACAGATCAGATAGGCAGGTAGGTACATAAATAGATAGATAGATAGATAGATAGATAGATAGATAGATAGATAGATAGATTAGATAGATAGATAGATAGATAGATAGATAGATAGATAGATAGATAGATAGATAGATAGATAGATAGATAGATAGATAGATAGATAGATAGATACATAGGACAGATAGATCGATTCGGTCAGGTCAGGTTAGGTCAGGTTGGGTTAGGTAAGGTTAGATAGATAGATAGATGGATTAGATAGATAGATAGATAGATAGATAGATAGATAGATAGATAGATAGATAGATAGATAGATAGATAGATAGATAGGTTAGATAGATAGGTTAGATAGATAGATAGATAGATAGATAGATAGATAGATAGATAGATCGATCGATCGATCGATAGATAGATAGACTGATAGATACATAGATAGATAGATAGCGAGATAGATAGATAGATAGATAGATAGATAGATGAATAGATAGCTAGACAGATAGATAGATAGATAGATAGATAGATAGATATATTAGATAGATTAGATAGATAGCTAGATAGCTAGATAGCTGGATAGATAGTGAGATAGATACATAGATTAGATAGATCGATGGATAGATAGACATATAGATAGCTAGCTAGCTAGCTAGCTAAGGAATAGATGTAGACATATGATAATGCAAACGACAAAGATAAAGATAAAGCGGCACATACAGGCAGGAGACAGAAGAAAGAGATAAATATAAAAAGAGAGATAGAGGAACGATAAGGATAGTAAGAACGATAAAATAACTATAAAGAGAAAGAGTGAGAACAAAGACTGTGATTCGTGATTTTTTGGGGGGAACTTCCGGGCACCGGCTTCGCCGGCCCTGGTAAATGATATGAACTACCATGAATTTCAATTGCCGGACATCGTCCATGCCCAGAAACCTCCCTTTGAGGGACTCGCTTCGAATGAAATTGTGCACGGAATTCCCAAACGTAGTTTGAGAGCGGGAAAATCCACTAATCAACGCATGCTGACGCAATCAATTGGCTCACTGGCAATCATTTCATTGAGCAATAGGAGCTCAACCTGAAAATATGCCGCCTGCTTGGACGACTTGAATTGTGTACAACACGAGCGCCACAAACAACGGCCTTACTATTGGCAGGCTAGCGACCAAAACGCGGAATCCCCCGTGATCTTCCGCCGTGGCGCTTGTAGAACAAGCCCAGCGTATGGTCCAGCTGCTTCTGGAAAGCGCTCAAGGCCGCATCCGGCGGTGAAGCTGAGAACACTCGGTTTCCATGCCAGAAATGTTGGTTTGGTTACCGATTCAAATGGGGTAGCTAGTTTTTCCAAGCCGGGGCCTATGCTCAGAAACAGTTGAACGCCTCGTGTCCCCTTGAGGCCTTGGTGCTAACACCCGTTGCGGGCAAGCTATGACCTGCAAGCTTTCCCATGTGTCGGGGTCCTATGCTCCAAATCAACGGCGATAGGAGGCCTATATAGTTTCGTTCTGATATCGGCATAGACCAAACTTATTCCAAGCTACCGCGGGACTTCAGATGTTTCAAACTTCTGGCGCAAAAAA